CAACTGAGTAGATACCATGCTAAATACTTCGAGAATGAAAAGAGTTAGTGTAGACACCCATGCCTAATTCATTGTTTAGGGAAATCAATAGCTTAAAGAGCAGATACCATGCCTTTAGGTTGACAAACGTAAAGCATCAAAATCTGTTTTGTATCATAGTATGTACCGGTTGCTTAGGCGAAAAAGGTTAGAGATGGAAGTCAAAGTCCCAATCGTTCAAACATCGTTTTCAAAACCCTTGTTGCCAATTACATTTATTTGCCTACGTTCTTATATTGTGCTTTTATACTTGAGACATCTCAAACTATTTTGTTAAACCTTTACTTGCATATTTGCTAGTTTTGTGAATTAATTAATTTAAATTGTTAGGAATCATACTCTAGATACATATTAGTGCAATTCCGTGGGAATGATCTCGTACTTGCTTTCTATACTATGTGTTTGATCTTGTGCACTTGCGAGTTTAAAACATGCAATTAGTAGCTTAATATCTAGGTTGCTAAATGCATAACAGTACAGCAGAAGAGACATTCCCTCCAAGCACAAGGGCTGTTTGAGTGTCTTCCCCTCTATGAACGAGTGATTTGAAGCACAATGTGTGCAAGTCAAGGTTAAATGCTAATAGAGGTGATATATAGGCAACTTCCCGCTTCAACGACATTCGATCATTTTCAGGAAATGCACAACAAGGCAAAGCAAGCATTGAGTGAGAAAACTCGGACAAGGATTGTTCAATCTTTGCAGCGCAGTCACGGTTGTTCGGAGGTTCCAGAACAATGGCCTGAGCTGTTTTTTGTGTGTTTGTCTCCACATTTTTCACAATCACCTTGTGTATTCAAAATCCAGCCAAACCAGAAAACAACAAGGAATACTGGTATCAATTAATAGCTCAAAAGAAATTTCTGGTATAATCTTAAACCCGAAAAGTCTAACTATGACTTTCAATTCTTTCCAAAATCGAAGTTCGATCACTTTAGTTTTACCTGTGCAATTTAATTGGATTCAACATTCTATAAAATCAATAAATTTCTATTATAATTCATTCGAAAATCGAAATTTCGATAACTTCAGTCTTCAGCTGTACAATTTGAGCTCGGATTCAAGTGTAAATTCTTGTGATTTCATCAATTTTCTCGCCATCCAAACAGAAAGCAGCAAAATTTATATAAATCAACATTGAAATAATTACCAGCGAGCCGGAGGTGATGGAGAGCCGTTTGAGGGCAGGAGTGGAAAGCCCGACCAAAGCAGAGTCGTCGAGAGAGGCCAGTTTGGGGCCGCTTGAAATGACCGTTCTGTCCTTGGGCAGCCTGAGAATCTCCGGCCGCAACTGCAAGCTCGCCGACGCGTCACCATCGCCGCCGCCGCCGACTGTGGCCTTCACTCAGTACGGAATTGATGAGATTTTTGGTGGAAGTCAGCACCAGTGGGTTCCTCCTCCTCCTCTCCACCATTGGCATGGAGCCTATAGAAACACATATAGTACATTCCAGGTGCAGATTGTATATAATTATATACAGAAATAGCGCGAAATTGATGAAGCTCTTCAGCTGCTCTGCTTCTGCGTTCGGTGACGTAGTAGATGACCGTTTTGACGTCAGCTGCTTTTTTTGGGAGCTGGAATTTGAATGGGCTTTGTTGATAATTGGGCTTGTACCAAATTTTCGAAGCGCGATTTCAGTTTACGGATCGAGAAATGATAAACACACATTTGTTTAGATTCTTACATATTCATGTTTTATTCTAGCCATTGATTTTATTTAACTTATTCAGTCTGAAGATCATAAATAAAAAGTGGTTTGTAAGACCATCTCCAAAAAAGATGTCAAATTTTAAACCTAAAATTTAAATTTGAAGGCTTACGTGGCACTTTGGCATTTTTTAAACTTTTGCTCTCCAACCGATATGTCAAATTTTCAACATAAAATAATAATTCATATGTACTTTCTTTGCATTGGGAATAAAAAAGAAACAAAAAGATATGCTTTAAACCAATAAAAAACTAATAAAAAGCATTTAATAATTAATTAAAAAAATTGAAGGTGTTGTCAAATTTGGCTGCAAGGGGGAGAGATGTCAATTCATGTCATGCCACATCAGATTTGGCTTCTCGGTTGGAAAACATTAATTTTGTCTTTTGTTACCGTTATTGCTAATTTAGACATTTTGACATCTCCTTTGGAGATGCTCTAAGAAGTTAAAAAGAGTGTAAAAATCACTTTCTTTATGGATTTGGCGAGTTGGTCAAGGCAGGTGTCGATTTGCTTTGCAAAAGAGTGCGATGTAACTGAATTTGGAAGAAGCAAGAGGCCAGATATGTGATATGTTACACTTTTTTTTTTTATATAAGTGATATTGTGAAGGGAGTTTCAAATACATAATCTCGGTATATGAATAAATGCTCTTAATCACTTGAACTAATAGTTCGTTTAAAATTTGATTACTACTATAACTCTGTCTGCTGATGCTGGTGCTCGGATATTGGAATTGTCATTAGAATGGTTACATCATAAATTCATGAATTTTTCAATTATATGTTATTTCATTTTATACAACTGATATTTTACTTTAACCTAATTTAAAATGTCAGACGAGAAATTCAAACTCTAATGCAATGAGAAAATCATCCGCCTTGAACAATATCGCCAGGTCCACGTCTGCGAGAAGGGGATTCAAACTCGATTGTAATGTGGGACCTTTGGTTGCAAGAATGAAGAGATTTTTCATTGTGACCGTCACACGAGATGATACACCACGTGTCTCTATATAAATAGTGAGTTATGTGTGTTAAAAGGTAATAACTTAAAAATTAAAATTTTCCACCATTTGCATAAAAACACGTGATGTATCATCCGTGTTCCCGTCATAACTAAAAATTTCTCGCAAGAAAGGGTAAACATTGACTTTGACTTGCAATTTCAATTTATAGAATTCAAGAACAACAACGTACTCACTGAGCAATTATTTGTGTATTTATTTGTAATCAAACAAAACGAAGAATTTTAAGCGGAAGGAAAAGAAAAAGATGCATAAATACCACATCGGAAAAGCATGTACAAGCCTCGTGCTTTATATGACCAAATTTAGGGGATTTAGATTGCTGAGCTTAGTAACGCAAGCTTACGATCCAATGTGGAGGCAATAAAGGTGGAATGTGAAGTTGTGAGTTTCTCTAAAAAAGAGTTGCAACCATAAGTACGACTAGATCCAGTAAGAACATAAAAATTGTGGCTTACTTAGTCGTTCTGAAGCGTCCATGGCTTATCAGAGCATGTCCAACTGACCTCCACCTTTTTTATATCGATTCTCGTATTTAGAGGTGTCAAATCTCATTGGGTTGTTAACCAACATAAGATACAATTTTGATCAGTGTTTCGTTTCGATTTCGAGTATAATATTTTAGGTCGTTACAAAACAAAGTATAGTTAGATTCATTGAAAATCGAAGAATGGAGGAAAAGCTTATAGTCTACACAATAATTAAGTTTCGAATGAGAATTGAACTTAAGTGCATAAGGGAGCACATCTACTCTAACCAATGTAGTTACGCACACGTTTTGAAGCGGAAATGAGAATCAAACTTTTTTTTCGGTTTAGCGACCTTTGGTTGTAAGGAATGAGAATCAAACCTTTTTAAGTTGCCGAAAGCCGAGCATAGTAACGCAAGCTTATGATCCAATGTGGAGGCAATACAGGTGGGGTGTGGAAGTAGTTGGTGAGAGGTAATACATCGACCCTATGCCAGGCGGATGGCACGATAAACCTATACGAAAGTTATGGCTTACCGTGTTGTCGATGAGGCACAATAAGCTTATGCGAAAGTTATGGCTTACTCCATGCACACTGCACCAATGTATAAACTGTCCATTAGCTTGTACAACAAAATTGAATTGTTCTAGAATTCAAGCTTCGTCCATAACATGATCTCGGTACATGAATAAACGATATGTTACATTTTATCTTTTATACAAGCGATAATGTGAAGGGAGAGTCAAGTACATGATCTCGGTACATGAATAAACGCTCTTAACCATTTGAGCTAATGGTTCCTTTAAAATTTGATCACTACTTTAACTCTGTCTGACGATGATGGTGGCCACTATATTGACATTGTCATCGAAATGGGAACATCATAAATTCATGAATTTTTCAATCATATGTTATTTCTTTTATACAAACGATGTTCTACTTTAACCTAATTTAAAATGTGAGAACAGAAATTCGAACTCTAGTGCATTGAGAAATCCATTCGCTTTGGACAATATCGTAGGTGATTCAAACTCGATTGTATTGTGGGAACTTTGGTTGCAAGAATTGGTAAACATTGACTTTGACTTGTGTATTTATTTGTAATAAAACAAAACAAAGAAATTTAAGAGGAAGAAAAAAAAATATATGCATAAATACCACATCGGAAAAGCATGTACAAGCTTCATGCTTTATATAACCAAATTATGGGAGTTAGATTGTTGAGCTTAGTAACGCAAGCTTACGATCCAATGTGGGGGCAATAAAGGTGGGATGCGGAAGTTGTTAAGGCGGCCTAAGAAAAGAGGTGCAACCGTAAGTACGACTAGTTCCGGTAAGAGAACGTTTGAAGAAGTTTTTGATCCGGTCTTGTTTGATAAATGTATTGGGACTGAAGTCAATCCGATCATGATAGATAACACAAGTTCCACAAAATTCTTAAACTCGCTACATATAACGGACTAATACTCTCTTTTTTGAGTTGAATGTGCATGTACTTTAAACTGAATATTTTACAATTTTTTTATACTCATTTCCAAGCATGTATGAGTTCATAATTATGACCATGTGTCCCACGTGGATGAGACGTATACAAGTGACATACTTAATATATAAAATTGTTAGAAGTTGGTCACTCGAATTCGACATGTTAAGCTAACGGGTCACCTGAATCCGACCCGTTAGCTTAATGGGTCATCCGTTTCACCTGTTAACAATTATTATTAAGGAAAATTAATGATAAGGGCTTGAAAACTTTAAATGTTAACAAAAAAACCATGTAAGAACTTTATTTAATGGTTAGGACAAGGCCCAACATTAAACTAGTCCAATTAAAATGGCCCAAACAACAAATTTCCGATTTTGCCCCGACAGCAGTCTTGTCCGTTTATCATCTTTGTTGCTTTCTTCTCTGCTATTCCCTGCCTCCATAACCTCAAATCCCTCATCTCCTTTCATCACCAACAGGAGCCGTAAAGCATGAGAGACTGCAGCTGGGAGAGTCGCAGCGGCTCCTGCAGAAAATGAACTTAGTAACCCGGCAATTAATCCTTGCACGTGAAACAGAGGGAGGACGATAACCGTCGAGTCCGACTCAGTGAGTTTGTAGACCGATTTGATGTTCTGGACCGAGGAGGCCAAATTGAGTTGCGTCAAGGGGACTCCCTTGGGCCGGCTCGTGGTCCTCGACGTGTGGAGGAAGAGCACCACGTCGGAGGGGTCGTTGATGAGTTGCGAGACCGAGTCGGGGCTCCCCTCGGCGGCGGAAGAGAGAGTGACGAGGCTGGCGGCGGCAGACAGGTTGGCGGTCACGTGAGGGATGTTAAGCTTGGAAGCAGCCGCTTGGGCCGCATGAATCGGTTCTTCCGGCATGATCAGGAGCTTCGATTCCTATTCGGAAAGGTAGAACTCGAACTCATCCACCGTGTACGCCGCATCAAATCACTGCCAAAAACATCACAACAAACTACAGAAAAGACAAAAAAAAAACTGTCAGAATTTTTTTATCTAATTTAAAAACTTGTTTGTTTGCGGAGAAAACGGTGGAAAATAAAACGATGCGATATGTACCTCGGCGGTGTTGGGGAACGTGAGTGCTTTGTGCAATTCAGGTCCTTTAATGCCATCATGTGTTTGATCTGCATGATTTTGGGGAGTTCTGATCATTTTATTAAATGGGTTATTTTTTTATGAATGTGTATTGCAGAGCAGAAGAAGCAGAAATTTTCTGAGATTAAAATTGGACTGGATGATGCCGAAGCTTTGGTAATATGTTGTACAACATACAAATTTCACTTGTTTTTGCTTTTTCTGGAAAGCTTCATGGTTTATATACTTTCCTTGTTTGTTTATGTGAATGAGTGATGTGATTTCTTTTGGGGGCTTACCGGGTAGTTTCTCGTTTAAGTGTTTGAAACAGAAACTGTTGACTATTTGAACTACCTTTGCTACTGGCTATGACAAATTGATATGAAAACGGAACCAAAATTGTGAATCCAAACCAAAATAACTTACACTATTTTTGGAAGGAACAAAATAAACACTATTTCTAGAACTACAACAAAATAACTATACTATTTATGAAATTGAACCAAAATAATTCACACTATTTATGAAACTAGACCAAAATAACCCACACTATTTATGAAACTATACCAAAATAACCCACATTATTGATGATACTATAGCAAAATAACCCACACTATTTATGAAACTATACCAAAATAACCCACACTATTTATGAAACTAGACCAATATAATCCACACTATTTATGATACTATAGCAAAATAACCCACACTATTTATGAAACTATAGCAAAATAACCCACACTATTTTTGAAACTAGACCAAAATTATATCATAATTTGCCATGATCATAATTAAGGGAAATTTTAGTTACATATATATGTTCTTGTTCTAGATTTGAGTTGGAGCATGAGACTAGAGAAGAAGCAGAAGAAAAGTAAATAGTCGGTGTTCAACTTTAATAAATAGTCAGTGTTCAGTTTAATAAATAGTGATAATATCAGTGTTTAGTTTAAGAATTAGTGATAATACCCGAGTTCAGTTCTAGAAATAGTTTATGGTCAATTTAAGAAATAGTGGTAGTATCACAGTCCAATTTATGAAATAGTTAATATTTAATTTAAGAAATAGTCAAAATTCAGTTTACGAAATGATCAATATTCAATTTATGAAATAGTAATAGTACCAGTGTTCAATTTAAGAAATAATGATAATACACATGTTCAATTCTAAAAATAGTGGGTGTTCAGTTTAAGAAATAGTCAGTGTTCAGTTTAAGAAATAGTCGGTTCAGTTTACGAAATAGTCAATGTTCAATTTATGAAATAGTCAATATTCAGTTTAAGAAATAGTGATAGTACCAGTATTCAGTTTAAGAAATAATGATAATAGTCGTGTTCAGTTATATAAATAGTCAGTGTTCAGTTTAAGAAATAATCAATGTTTAATTTAAGAAATAATGATAGTACTAGTGTTCAGTTTGAGAAATAGTTAGTTCAATTTAAGAAATAGTCAATGTTCAGTTTACGAAATAGTCAATGTTTAGTTTATGAAATAGTCAGTATTCAGTTTAAGAAATAGTGATAGTACCAATGTTTAGTTTAAGAAATAATGATAATCCTCGTGTTCAATTATAGAAATAGGATGGGAGAAATTTTTCTAGGAGCTAGTAACACATTTCACCTGGTGTTCCCAACCCAGTAACATATGACACCTTGAATATCATATTTAAATCCTTAAATCTTATTCTCCAAACTATAAATAAAACTAAATTAACAAAAAAATAAATAAATAAAAAACAAACAAACAACCCAAATTCTGGAACCTTTCGCCCCACCCAAACCTCACCCATTCATCCCTTCCCGTCACCTCTCTGTTACCCCTCTCTCTCTCTCTCTCTCTCTCTCTCTCTCTCTCTCTCTCTCTCTCTCTCACGCTGGAGAAGAACACGGGAAGGCCAACCACTGCTGAGAAGAAATAGTGATAGGTACATGTAAGCAAGCAGCCGGCGCTCTGAAAGTAGCAAAACCAGAGGGAGAGAGAAACAAATTCAAAGCTGTCACCAAATCATTACGATGTTCAACCCAGCTACTGCCAAATGTTGGCATAACCGATGATGCTCCTTCTCCGGATGCACTCCCCGGACATTCCATATGCTTTTGCGAATGGTCCTTGAGGATGCAAACTGCAGGCCTTATCAAAAGTACCCTCAGATGAGGTTCTTTTAGCACTGGGCACCAAATTCTTAACCATGTACATAATCATATTTGAAAAGGATCTTGTTGAATTAAAAACATTCAAAAACAGCAGAACCTCCATAATTTTACTCTTACGGGGAATTCAACAAATTGGGTTTCGCATTGATCATAAATACACTAAATTTCATACCAATTTGAAATCTACACAACAAACAATTACAGATTATAGTTTCCTATGAAACAATAAGCATCTTACATCACTACAACAACTAAAACGCATTAAAATTGATAATATCATGAATTCGAACAACGAAAAAGGAAATCGAATTCGGTTACCTTGTACTTGCCAACCTCTTCGTTGACTTCCTTCAAATCACCCTTTGTGAAAATCAGACCAACGTTGCTCTAAATCCCAAAAACAACAACAAATCAGAAAACCAACTAATACAAACAAATCAGCAACCACAAATAGAGCCAAAGAACGTACCACATAGAGGGACGAGGTTGAGGTAGGCATTATTGCCCGTCTTCTCCGCATGGTTCCTGACAGACCTTTTCATCATCGTGTTCTTCCCCTTCAGAACGACGGAGTCTCCATGCAGTCTCTCGTAGATGTTCTGGAGATGCTTGGAGCCGACGTTGTCGGGGGCGACAAAGAGGACCTGGCCATACTCGTCGAGGAGGGAACAAAGCTTGGAATCGTAGGCGATCTTCTAGTTGGCCTTGGAGGTTTTCTACTGTTAGGGGTACTTTTGGAAACTTAATTTTATCCATGTTGAGCTCTCTAATCCAGCCCGCGTAGAATTTGAAAGCCCTGTCCTCATGGTTAATTTTGAGGTGCTTTTAGTTAAAGAAAACTATAGAGTGGTTTTTGGTTAAAATATTATGGATCCAAGTCCTTTTTATTAAAGCTCCCTTATTATTATTATTATTTTGCATACAATTTATTTTTTGTTGTTAAGACTTTACTGAAATTATTAAAACATCATCAACTAACGGGTGCTAACGGATGCTAACAGGTTGATCCAAAGTGACCCGTTATTTAACGGGTTGTTAACGGATTCACCCGTTAACAACCCGACCCGTTAAGCATCCATCCAAATACTAATATTAACGGGTCGGGTCCAAGATGTCAGGTCTAATAGTCCCTCATTCTGAGGGTGGGGAAGACTCATAGAGGCATTTCAGTCTCTCTTTGACTACCATTGTGCGATTCACCAACACCAATAATAGAAAGAGTACTTATATCCTTCTTGTTCTAAAAAATAAGTCCCACATCGACGAAGCATAGACATTAAGGTGGAACTTGGAACGGCGGTTGAGTCGCACAAGCTGTGGCTCGTGCTTGGTGGCTTGAGATGGTTGAGTTTGGGTTCAATAGGCCCTTTGTGTTTGGTTCAGTCATTTTTAAAACTCCTTCCAACGAATCCATAATTAAGTATCAAATTCACTATTTATAACATGATTCAAGTGGCAATAATTAATCTATCGTATAAACAGAGGGAATTGTTATTCGCACTCCAAAAATCTTATTTTGCACTCTAAACTTTCTATAATTAGAAAGAAAATTACATTTATGAGGAGTGTAAAATGAGATTTTTGGAGTGCTAATAACAGTTGCCTAAACAAATTGCTTTAGTGAATTTCAATTAACTAATTTAAGCAATTTCCAAATTATCCTTATAACACGAAACACAATCATCAAATTGACAAAATTTAAAACAAAAAGAGAAAGTTGAAATTGAAGAAAACCACCGAAATTAATTTTGTTTTCTTCATTCATCATTGAATCATGATACAAATTTCAATAAAAATCAAGAAATCTTGGAAATCCACTTTTCCTTGGTACACACGCAACTGAGGCACTTGCTCAACATTTCTACCCACAAACCTCTCCAAGAACTGCTTCTCCGCCGGAAAAATCACACTCGCCAAGCTCAAATTCTCTTTTACCAACCCCTTCCCCGCCAGCACTTTGAAAACCGAACGCTCCAAACTCAGTCACATAACCGTCGCGCATTTCGCAATGGCGGCCGAGGACCACCCCATCTTGTTCACCAAAAAATCAATCGTCTGATTCGTCTCCATTATCTTCTTCTCCGATTTCGTCATGCACAAGGGATTGGACATGAAAGCAGAGAGGATCTCATCCTCTGACCAACCACATTTCCTGTAGGCCTCTTGGTTTCGTTCCAAGATCGACTTTTACCGGACCTCACCCGCACCGCCGGCACAAATCGCGGGCTCTAATCCGAAATCTTTCACCTCAGCAACAATCCCACTGAACGATTCTGGCTTTTTTTTTTTTTTTATCAAAATGTTGGGGTAATGCGCAAGCAACCGAGCAATGGAGGATTCCGGCATCCCAATATCTCTCAAAAGATCGATATTTGGCACCACATTTTTCGACAGATTTTCGAGGAAGATCCACGGCTTGTGCTTCAGAATACTAATCACTCTCTGATCAGAAATCAAAAAGGTTTTAAGGAACTTGTAAGATGGGTAATCTGATATTTCAAGGTTATTTTCAAAGGGTAGGATTGTGGTGGCGATTCGTCGGCGGAAGGATAGATTTTGTACTGCAAATCTTTGGAGGGCGGCGATTTTGGTGGGAGAGTTGAAGGGTGTCATTGTTTTGGATTTGAAATGGATGGAGAGATGTTGATGTTTTTTGTTTGGTTTTTTTTGTTATTTTCTTCACTAAAAGTTTTTTTTTTATTTTTTATAATTTTTATAATTTATTATTATTAAGAATAAGGTTTGAAACTATTACAATAATTTAAAATAAGAGAATCTGAACCAGAGACGCATTGATAAAAAAACACCTGTAAAATTATTGTTTAATCCTACCTACTGTTTAGGTGGCACCAACGAGCCTACGAGATCCAGCTAAGGTAAGGAACTTTGTGTCGTGGCTGCTCCACTCCACCGCGATCCCATGAACTGAACTTCGCTGCCTTCCCGCGCGCGAAGCGAATGGGCCCCGTACTGTGGGTCAGTTTCG